TGCTAGAAAATTCACCTATAGCTTTGAGTTTCCTTTATTTTCTGATGTTCTTGAATCCAAGACAGAAAAGCGTGGTATTTAGTATTATAAAACCTAACAGTCACCTTCAGATATTGAAAACAAGAAGCTGCAAATGCAGATTGGAAAATACGTGCAGTGCAGCCCGTTACAAATGCAATATAGCCCATCCACTTCCACTTGGTCAAGCTTCCTGTGAACTGTGCATCTCCAAAGCATCCTAATAATCTCCCAGCGTTGCTCGCATTTGTAACTGCATTAATCATGAATTATTACTGTGTCAAATAATTTTGATATAAAAGGGAAGACCTGCCAGTCAAAGAGGAGACATTATGAGCACATTATGTATTACCAGAAAGGAATGCAGAAATTCATATCAATGCAACAAGAAAACTGGAGAAGAAAGCTGATGCCTCTTCAGTGGCTCACTGCTATACTTCAGAAACCCAGCTCTACATCAGCTTTTAAAAGGGATTCCTGCACAGAGTTAAGTCTTATCTCATGCCCAAGCACCATGAGCCTCACAGGCTGCCTTTCAATGGAGCCACTGCTCAGGCAAAGATTGCACAGAGTGTGGGGGACGAGTATGTCTGAATAACGAATGAAGTCCTTCTCTGAGAAAACACTATCAGTCTCCATTTCCTTTCACTTTTACCATTTTTAGTAATAGGCTCTAGATCCTCTGCTGCTATATGCACGCTTTGTCACACAACTGGCCTTTACAGACCATGACAAAATAGCTTCTAGCAACGTTGCTGGGTCAGCACCTTCCCTCTCTGTACACCAAATCTCTGGAGCACTGGGCAGAAGTAATGGAATGGCAACATAATCATCCAGCATAATTTAATTTGGGAATATACATCACTTCTGATCAAACTGTTTTGCTAGCAGCCTTCACATCCACAAAGCACTGCACTGTGTTAATCTCCTTAAGCATTTTGTCCCCTTAATCATTACAGTAACAAAAACCAAGAGGAAACCACCTCAATATATACACATTATAAATGCTGGTTTATATTGATTGGCTCATTATTTGATGAACCAATAAAGAACTTGTCTTACAAACTTCAGACTGCAGAACCTTCTGTCCTCATGCTGTAGGATCCTGCAGTGTTGGGACAGGAACACCTCCACGGTCCCATCACCAAACCTGCCTCCTGCATATCCTGATCTTCTGCACCTTGTCTCATGGACAATCCTGTCCTGTGTCTTCTCAAATGAGCCTGTCAACAACACAATTCCTCTCTCCACCCTCCACCAAGGAATGCCACAGCTCTTCCATACCAATCTCCTAAGAGGAGACTGTAGGAACCCTTGCTGCAAGCACATGGAGCATCAGTTCAAATGGTGGGGAGTAGATACCCATATTGCTCAAGGTACAGCAGCTACACGGGGCCCAAGCCAGGTGTCCACTTGTAGATACTCCAGATGCCCTTAATGATGCAGCACTGGAGGAGACACCTTCTGGTATCACAACCAGCAATCAGGCAAGGTATGCTGAGACATTTCTACTGGTGACAGATGTCCATAAGTAGGTAACCAATCTGAACCTAAGACACAGAAACAGCTATCTTTAAGATCAAAAGCTGCTCTTAAGAGACAACTGAACAGGCTAAGCACACAAAATCCAAAGCTACATGACGAAAAAAGTATTGCAAAGCGTCAGTACAGAGCTGCAAGCCAAGGTGAAGAGAAGTTCCAAGTCCTTTATCACTCCTCCTTTTTCTGTGTTGAAGAAGGTGCACTCTCAGAGGCTTGCAAACCAGAGGCCAAACTATTCTGGCATAGTTTGCAAACAGGAGAGACACAGCCTTCTGCTTACGCGCCAAGTAACACAAGGCTCTCTGGACTACTTCAGCAAGGCTACTCTCTATTTTTACATATTCTTGGGAAGAACGCAATGTTGCTTACCGTGTAAAGGCACCAAAGCCTCACAGAAATCAAAGTTGAAAAAGAAGTATGAGATCATACTGTTTTGTGTGGGACACCACATGGCTAGACTCCCTTTGAAGGCCTTAAATAGTAGACACAAAGAGCAAATTCAAATTGAAAGCATTAAAATTAGAAGTAATATTCTGATAGTTGCAGCTGATCTTGCAAGAAGACAAAGGCAGTGCTACTGTTTGTCTTTGAAGTGGTGAGCAGCAGAACGAAGGATGACTGCAATTTTTCTGCTTTGTAACACCTCGGTCACCGCCATGTCTGCAGGACATCAGTTTGCCCATTACTGATCAAAAAGAATCCAGTCTCATATGCAAGGATATGCAAAAAAAAGCTAATTTGTGTAGATACCCCTCAAAACCAAATCAAGTGCACATCATTTTATGTGGTCCGCAGCTTCACCCTTGATTTACAATGACAGCATGACAAGAGCAGTGCTAAAACACACAAAGCTAAAGCAGCGTTCATGGAATCTTATGCTATGGACTCACTCAGCCCACTCTTGCACTATAAAATCTTTCCAAAACAGAAAGCTTAAATCAGCATCAAAATGGCTCTGGAATTGCTTCTCCCAGAAGAGGAACAAACTGACTTGAAGCAGACCAGAATAACAGCATTGAGCATTTCCCATTTTACAAAAAGCCAGAGAAACGCACAGTAACAAGAATCCCTTCACAGTTTACTCGGGGAAGCAGAGCACAGGTCTCTGCCTCAAATTAACGCTGGGTCTAGAGTTTCAACAACTAACTGAACATTTTTCTAACCCCTTAAATTTAACCTACAAAAATAGACTCTCTGAAATACAAGGTATTAAATAATTCTCTTTCCACTCCCCTTATATGCAGTGTTCCTACTGCATTTTGAGAAGACGAACGTTTATCTTGAATGGCTGACAGTTGCTGCTGTGGTCATTCAGTTTCAGCTTTGAAAAAGCAAGATGTGAAATGGGAGTAAGACAAGATTAAGGGAAATAGGTGTTATGGGGGTCAAGAGCTACTCATTCAGCCATTATACCAAGCGAATGTCAAGAGAATGTGTTAGTGGTACACAGGTTGCCACAGAGAAACTGCAACAACAAATCAAATTTCTGTTGAAACGCATAATATCCCCCGAAAACATTGCTGCTTATCCGTAAGAGAATTCTGTGGTGTAAACTTCAGATTCCAGCAAAGAGGAAAAGGTTTATACACCTGTTAGAGTTGCACAGGTTTTACAGCCTTTAAGATAACCCCATTGCTATTTCCTTGCAGAATGTCTTATTTTGTATTGAAAATATAATTTTTTTTTGTATTTACATCTGTGAGTGGTACAATGTATTGCAATGATGCATAAAAAATACACACAATTATTTCAGTGTAGGTGAGCTCATACATTGTTACATATAAGAAACCACGTGAGGGGCCAGAACTACATTTTGCTATATTTGACTGCCTTAATTAAAGGAACTGCATCCACACACCAATGGATACAGTTACATAAACATGCAGCCTAGTTATTGGAGGAGCAGCTCTTCTGCAAGTCACTGGATGCTGTGGGTATACCACAACACTGAAAATCAGAACACTTATTACTTGTAGTGTCTCTACTACCGTGTGTACATTTAACTGAGTAGTTTGAAAACTGAGACTCATCACACATAATTAAAGGAAACCAAAGCAAGCCCAGACCAGTACATTTTCTTGTTATATTAGCAAAATCATCTTTCTAGGGCTGGAAAGGAGGAAAGAAAGCAAGTCTTTTATTGTAAAACTCTACAGTTAAGCAGAACAAATGCTTATCTTGTATTACTCTTAAAAAAGAAAGATCATTTTTGGATTAATAAATCTAAACACAAAAGCTACAAGAGAAAGTTACCAGAACTTAAGAGTTAGATATGAGAGGCAGCTAGAAACTAAAAAACAAATACAGGTATACTGCTAACTGTATTTCAACACAGTAAGTTATTTTCTACACCAGCCCTAGTTTTGCTTGTTTTCTAAATCACTATAGCAATTTAATAAGAAAGCTAGTTTCACTCACTGAAATTAAAAGCTAATTTTGCCAGACCACTGTATGGACAGAATACAGATGGCAGTATTTAGAAACTTGGAGACTGGTGTCTGCACACAGAAATTTAATTTAAAAATGAGTTTATATCAATTGTTTTTATTAGATATCAGCAGTTTACAAATTTGAGTTAAGAAATAAAGTTACAGAATGGAATTAACTTGAGCTCATTCTTGGTTGTGAGGTTTTTTCACTTTAAGGTCATAATAATTTTTACACAGGATGTCATTTGCAACAAATTCTAGACTGTCTAAAACACAGTCCCACTATTTCCTCATTCAGTATTTCATAATTTATCAAAAAACTAAGACTGTTCTAAACATTTTTAACAAGTATTTAATTGACTACTGTATCAGGCCCTTTATATACTTTGAATTGTTGTTTCAATTTGTGCACGATAGAGATTTTTAAAAAGCACTTGAGGATTCTATATTGCAAATTTTTATAACTTTCAAAACTAGGAATAAATAAAGATTGTTCCCATGACAAAATTAAATGCACCATTCAATATATCACGTCTTGTCTTGTCTATACCTCACATCAAAGCATACAATTTTCTAGCAGAAACATTGTTTTAAAACACTAATTCCCCATCATTTTAATGCACATCAAATTAAGACTGCAAGAGCTTCTACTTCCTGATAAGCGCAGGTTTCACTTAATTCTATACTTTGCTACAGTCCACTAAATACCACCTCAGCATACCCTTAATTTACATTTTCTTCTCCACAGCTCATAAGACAGTCAGAAGACAAGTTATGTCTGATGAGTAAGGATGCAACTGCACTGAGGTCTCTATTAGGAAGCCTCACTGCCCTTTTATGCACCCATCTTTCTTTCTTTTTCCTGCCTCACAGCCAAAAATAGTAATAAGATAAAGCTTCCAACATCTAACATTAAGGTGGCTAAGAAATACAAGACTGTGAAGGAGGGAAGAAATTAAGAAAAAAAAAAAGCATATGCAATGCAACAAGTTGTTTCAATATTTCTGCTCTGTATTGATGAAGTAGCAGTAAGAAGAGGCTGAGCCAGGAAGCTGCACAAATATGAAATATGCTGGAACAAGTAAAAACATCAACAGTCTTAAGGCAACCTTTCGAATCAGCAGTGTGATCACTTGTATATCTGAAGAGAAATCCTTCTATAGTTATGTCGATACAAAAGATGTTATGAACCATATCGATCCTAGAAAGGTAAAAAAAACCAAAAATGACAGTGGTGAATACGTTTTTCATTGAAAGAAATTACTTTTGCTTACATTTATAAAATAAATAGTTAGTTCAAGTCCTAAAGACTTAAAGAAAATAGACCAGTGCTTCCAAGACCTGGAGTTTACCATTAGTTTACAACTCCAGGATAATTAGTCTGATTTTCAAACACCTAAGAGCTTCATTCACCTCTTTTAGGATATACAAACTAACGGGAGCATGAAGCATGCTTTATGTTATTGAGACCAGGGTGACTTAACTTTGGGCAGAAACGTGGATCAAAGGTATTGCTGTCCAGTCAATGAAAGGGGCAGTACAAGAGTTGGGCCAGATGATTGCTGGTAGGTGCCTTCTAACTAAACCAGTCTGAGTTATGAACTAGCATTATTTTAAAAATAAAGTGACAGCAAATAACTTCCATGATGGAATTTCTCTTCAAATTGTAAGAAATAAACTATATAAGGGAAAAGGCAAAAAAGACATTCTAAGGAAGATGACTTATCAACTCCAAATTTATTTTTAAAAAAATCTACTGTCTACTATGAGGTCTAGAAAGCTCAAATCCAAATTCATTCTTTTTTCCCTAAAGATAATTCAAGGGCAGGATCCACGATACTAAATCCCTATGAAAAGACTTTAAGTGGCAGTTAGTAAATTGTAATATATTTACTAACCTGTATAGATGTCATGACCCCATTAGCAAGTACAGAAAGTTTCCCAGCCACTGATTTCACTCCTTGTTTAAACTGAGCTATATCAGGAGCAGAAGGCAAGACATTTGTAATATTATAACTTCCTAAAAGGAGAACACACAAACACAAGAAGAAAACAGAATTTCATATTAAAAGCAGTCTTTTTTCTCCTCAAAGTACAATATACTACTAGGAGCACTAAACACCGATGTCTGATCCGCACTGGCATAGACACTAGGCACAGATCTCAAATTTCTTAAATGCATCTGCCTTTTAATTTTTTTTTCAGTTGTTCATAACTCTACCTGGAGTGTCATCTTCTACACTTTGTACTCCCAGATGAGCAATTAATGTTTGGATAATACATGATTTATTCTGCACTTTCAATCTGCTGCAATGTTATTTGTCTTGTATCCTAAACAGCTGCCATTACCTTGCAATTTAAAGATGAATGCACTTCAGTGATGGATCAAGTAATGAACCCTACTTGTGTGTATGCATATGGGTATGCTTTATTTTGGATAGTCCAGCTTTTGCATTAGTATATCTGAGGCTTGGAAAATTCTGTAGAAATTACAGTCAAGGTAAATTTTAAAAAACTCCTAAACAAAGCTGGCAATCCAGCCTGCCTTGAAGCCAACATAGCTTGACCAGTGTCAGCACTACTGCTAGTACAAAAAGTACCAGTCTAAAGATAACAGAAATCAAAGACGTTTCAAAACTAACTGCATGGTCAGTCTTAACAGGCTGACAACTACAGTGACCCACTCACTTGCGAAAAGAATTGCTGGCACACCTTAATAGTAAATACCTGCTGCTGGAAAAAGTACAAATGGCAGTAAACCAGCATCATAGAACTATGATCTCACGAATAAACGCAGCTCCTGAGAGGAAGCATCCCAAAACAGACCATTTTCAAAATGCAGGCTGCAATCTGTAGCCTTATTTTAAGCACGTAGCCAACTGATAGCCATGACCACTTGGGACATAACTTGTAGCTTGTGAGCAGGTTCTGAGCCTCGGACATCCTGGTCCAGCCACAGGCTCTACAACCCACAAGTCACAGGCACTTACTTTTCATTCCATTACTGGAATCTCTGCCTTTCCCCACAAGCCCCAAGAATCTTCCCAAGTGGTCAGTGATGAATAATCATGTGTGCACAATTCGCATACAGACAGTAAACTATAAAATTGCTAAGTACCCTTATTCAGAATACAGTGAGAGTTTTATCACGCATATGTGTATGTGTACATAGAACGGCACACATATTTACATATACACACACATATATATATCACATCAGACAATTTGCCACATCTTTAATTTTTAGTTACCTTTTCCTAGTTCATTCTCTTATTCATTGCTATGTAAAAGCCCCATACACATCACACAAGTTAAGGAACAAAACCCAATTCGTCAAGTCAATAAAATGTTCCAGTATTTCCCACTGTTTCTATTTCAAGTTATTACACTACCAAAAAGGGTGTTGGAAAGAAAACATGAGAGATTTTCAATAGCCTAAGAGGCTATTTTTCAGTCAGTCTAATCTAGTCTAGTCCTTCTTCCTTTCTAACTTGATGAATATACTCTCCAATGCAAGGTGTTCCAACAAATATTTAAAACAGACAAACCAACAGAAAAAAATCCTTAATACTTTGGCAAGACCAGTGTTAGAAGCAGATATGCTGATGAGTGATATGTCATGCAACAGATTAAATGGGAATTTCAAGACCACTAACATTGTATTAAAGATTTTTAGATTCAATATTATTATGACAGCTACTTTCACATATAAAAATATCTAAGTTACTTACGGAAACTTATTGAAAAAACTACCTGACAGTCAATTCAGATGTTATCTCATTTGTTTTTCTAACAAAATATTACAGTTTATTTACAGTATATATACTTACATATATTATACTTACACGTATTTTTTCAGTATATATATTATTACAGCATATTTACAATATAGTTAATCTATTATTTGCAACAAGTCACATAAAAAAGTATAAAATATTGAAGTTACTCAACTGAAAATACAGAACTTGAAATTTAAGAAAATTTTCTTTCATAGTTATACATCTGTTATGCTTCTTGGACCTATCAGCAATAATAATGCATACCGCACATGGCACACTTCTTGAGAACAGAGCGACAGTTCGCTGACAGAAGCAGAGCACATGATACAGTTTCTCACTCTGTTCAATATGTACCTGTTGGTTGTTTTTTCTGATCTTCAAACAAGTCAGCTGAACTTATAGATGAGCTTCCAGAAAGTCTTTCTAGTCGAGCCCTTGCTTCATACTAGAAAAGAATTGAAAAAAAAAGTATTGTAACAGTATGCAGTTGTTTCTTGAGATTATGTCAGATAACTCATGAGATTGTAGATATGGTTTCACAACACACAAATCCATCCAAATTGTTCCCATTTTGTAGTTTTTACACGACTTACATAACGTTAGTTTGATCAGCTTGGAAATGAGATGATAACGAGAGTGACATATACCACTGCAACACCAAGAGGCCTGCTCACTGTTAGCTACTCTAAAATTGCTGATAAACTATGTAACCTTTGTGTGCAAAAATGTGAAATGGAGTGTTTGGGTAGGATAAGGTAAAAACACTGCAATTAGCATTGAGTTAACACTTCTAATCACATGATGCTTTCAGTTCAATTTTTTCCGAGTTCCCAGGTAAGAGCACTATATATTGATTATATTTTTTTTATTGTTCTTTACATTTTTACTTTCTCATTAAAAATAGATTTTTTTAAATGATCTTCCAAAATGCAACATAATATTCATCTGCTTTTTATTTCTAGGCTGATTCAACTACATGTCATTTGTTGAACCACTTATCTGCTCAGTTAGCCTTACAATAGTAATAATGTTTCCATGGAACAAATGGAGAAAGGACACCTGTTCTCATAATAGTTTGCTGGCATCAGGTTGGGTATTTAGAACAAATGAAGTAAGCCTTCACCCAGCGTCAGGCTGATTCTTTCAGAAATAAATACTGCTGAATCATAGTCCACCATGTTATCAGAAAAGAACAATGTTGGAGGTAAGGTCCTACTTGCAGCCTCAACTCCTTAAAATGAAATACTAAAATATGAGTTATTAGCAACTTGTATAGTTCTATCAAAAAACTATTCAAGTGGACTTAATTCCGTAAACTTACTAATTCTACCGATTTTAACTATTTATTGACTTCTCTTTATACAAGAACACCATATTGTAGTGAAAATTTTTTTTTAAAAAAAAATTTAACACTCAAAAATATTTATCACTACTTTCTACTTACATCAGCATGATCTTGCCTTCCAAAATACATGTCTGATGAAATCGCTTTTACATTGCCAAATTTTTTTTGTGCCTCATCTGTGTTTAAAGATGGTTCATATTCAGGCTTACGACGAGATGCAGGCCTAAAATAAAAAGAAACTGCATTAGTGAATGTAACTTTTATTCACACCATGCCAGAATCCAATAAATCAAACAAGAACCACTTTCATCTTCACTTTATGAAGCCGAAAAGTATAATAGTGTCTGGTTTTTAATGAAAAAAATAAATTGGTATCAATCCAGGATAAAGAAATTTAGATAATTAAGTAGATATAGCAGCAAATAAAATTTCAGTCACAATTTTACAAGATGGTGAACACAAAGATATAAGATTGATGAATTTTAAGTACTATATGTTCAGAGTGCATTTAAAAAGCACACTAAATTATGTGAACAAGAACTGAATATTTCTATGAAACCTCAAAAAAACCCAAAACACAATGCCAGTGAAATTCAGATTTAAATGCCATAGCACAAAAAAATTCAACATCCTTTGAATTGTCACCATCTTCCAGGTCAAATATACATATTCAACACTTCCCCATCCCCCCCTTTTTTTTTCCCCAAGTAAATGTATACTTCAAATAAGGAAGTAATAGCATTATGGACACGAATCTTTATTTTGTGTAATATGCAGCACTGGTCCACTCTTTAGGAAACAACAGAATATGTTTGTGTTAAAAAAAAAAAAAGCTGTACTTAAGTGCACAAACTGCATTTTACAGGTAAATGAAAAATACAGTTTTAAGTAAGAACAGACGCAGAAAGCACCAAGCAGGAACACAAAACCCCACCTTAGTACATTTTCCACTTGATTACAATGGCAAAACATAGATGTCAAAGAAGAAATGCATTCATCTTCCGTTATCACAACAACTAGACCTGTTGTTTGCAAGTACCTTCAACACCGTAACCCTAAAAGCTGAGTTCCCTACAGTTTTATTCATTTGGTAACTGGGCTCTCTTTATTTCATTAGGGAATAAACAAAGCAAGTAAAGCAAATATGGTCTCAGAACAGCGCAAATATTTGAGTTTCTCTCCATGTGTTTTGTCTACTTCTTTTTTTACTGAAACTCTTTGGAAATTACCTCCAGTACATATACTGCACCACGCTGAGCAAAACAGACAAGTGCTTGAAATGTAAATAGGAAATTGAGCTTACAAAAGAAACTCAGTTAGGAAGTCCCTTGACGGCTGATGAAAGCTATGGCCAAATTCTCCTTCTTGACTGAGAAATGAAAATCCCAGTACTCAAATCATACTTACAAGCTTGGGCTTTCTGTATAAAAATCAGTTTTAACAATCTGTATAAATACAATTATATAAATATACACTAAATATGTATAAAAATATTTAACAATTATATAAAAATCATGTTTTGTTGGTATACCTGTCTGAAAATTCTGTACTTTTTGAATTTAGCATTATATCGACATCTCTACTGTTATTTTCTTTCTCCCAGAAAGAATCCGGATTGTCATCCCATTTAGAGAAAGTGTTGCTCCTCAAATCTGAAGAACCATAGTATCTAAAACAAAACAAAACATAAAGTATTGGAAAAGTGGGAACTTTATACTATTAGATAAATATTGCTATAATAAGTGTTCACTAGCAAGTAAGTTTTCAGCACAATGACATTTGTCAGTAAATAATCTGGATTTTATAACATGGGTTAGAAGCTTTGTACAGTTGAATCCCATAGATTTTTGCTTTTCTACACATTTAACCAACAGAACAGCATGCTCTTTCTTTAGGCTGGATATGGTCATGAATATGCAGTGGACTGCCTGAAAGATATAGTCCCACCAAACCCGGTAAAGTTCTCCATACCTCAGAGTATTACATCTTCTCCAGTGTCAGGCAAAGCGCTGGGAAGAACACTGTCAAGTTACTTAAGAAAATTTCAGGACAGACCCCATGAGCAAGGTACCACGGTGACCCCACGAGGTAATCTGCTCCTAAAAGCATGGTGCTAAGATGTCAGCTATGAAAAAAGCCACCACAACTTCCAAGGTGCTTGGAACACTCTAGAGATCCAGGAGCACCCAACTAGCCCCTGGCATCCAATTGTGCTGCAGTTCCACAGGGGACAACAAAGTTTTCTGACTAAGGGGCTGACAGTGGCTAATCTCACAGTTCCATCCATACGGGTCAAGCTGTAGGCTCTGCAAGTGGAAAATCCGTTCCCATTTTCTGAGGCATCAGTAAACATAGTGCAGAACAGTAAGGAAAGCTCTTGTCTCTGGTTCTGTGTATTTTGTTTTAATACAAATATTAGGTACTGCTTTTTGTAACATTTAATTAAAACAGTGCTAAATAACATATTTCTTAAAAGTAAATCTAATTAAATTAAGACAATCTCCTCTCACATATCAAAAATACAGGGAAAACACAAACAGAAAGGAAAGAATAAAAAAAAGAAGCATATTTGTCAATTCTTATCAATTCAATTCTTGCCAATTCTTTTCAATTCAATTCAATATCTTGACCTTTCCCCCTTCAATTATCTACACATACCTAAACATATAAGGAAAGAAATCCCACAAAACTATAAAATATTAAGAACTTCCCTTTGTGGGTAAACAAACTTTCTTTCCTAAGGTTTGGATATGATCAGGATAAGGAATAAGATGATCAAAACAACAGGAGGCAAGCAGAATGGACTCATTCAGTAGAACAAGCTCAGGATATTAAAGACTGTATTTGTGTCCTGTGAAGAGCATTATTTCAAAAAACATTCTCCATGTTTGTGTTATGAATAGTCAGGACACATGGTTTTGCAGTTTATGAGAAATAAACACCTTCAGCAGCAATGTCTCCCACCACTGCACATAGGAAATAGCAGGGATAGATCCGGAATGAACTTCCACAAAAAGCAGGAGTCTCTCCCCTTTCCTTTTTTTTTTTTTTTCCCCACAATGGCTGTCAAAACAAGGTGATAGGGCAGGGACTACAAGAGCTGAATTGAATAAAATCGCTTCTTTTCTCCATCCTTCCTTCGCAGATTTTCATAACTTTGCAAAACACTTCCTCAGTATTCAGGGAGTGGTGGGGCAGAGAAAAATTGTATTTAATAACAATGTAAAACTTTATATTCTAAGTTAATAAAGATTTCATTGACTGTAGCAAAACTAAAAAATCAAAATCCAAGAATTCTGAGAGGCTTCAATTATATATCTAAACCTTGAGACATTTAGCTTGCTTGATTTACAGATACTTACCAGCATTCTAATATCCAGCATGACTATTTTGTTTTTAGGGCATATACTAAGATGATATTAAAGTTACTTTGATTTCAAAGTCACAGCTTGGAATAAAGGATAATAACCACCTTACAAACCTTACCAAGTCTAACAATCTGACTTTATACTTTCTTTAAAGTGAATGAATTTGTACCAACTACAATATCAGAGTCTATGATTGCTACAATCAGAAGAACAAGAGCTGGGAACAACTAGGTTACAATTTGTCTTCTAATAATTGAACTAAAATACACTAAAAAGCCTCTTCTACGATTTATCCTTTGCCTGCTAGTAGGTTTCTGAACAATTTGAGAGCAGTAACAGTTCTTTTCAAGGCACAAATAGAGAAGCACTGAAATGATACATTTTATTTTACAAGACTGCTGCCAGTTCACTTGGTACCATATTTGCATTTCTGCCACTAGTGATTACACTACAAAATAATGAAACAAAAACCTTTTTTTATAATTTTTCTGTCTACAAGTAATTAGGTACCTTCCTCATGTTTCTGTGGAACCAATGCGATAAATGTAGTTTGTAAAAGCAACGCCTGTTTTTAGGTATCAGTCCAGAAACAGTTGTTTCACTCCAATTAGTGTCTGTAGGACTAAAAATTTTTCTTCCCCCTCCCAACAACAATATTTCATAATTCGCATTGCACTCATACTCAGATAAAAAAAAAGTCAATTATTTTTTGCTTGCATTTTATGTTCCAATACATAAAAGCCTATGAAGACTGCAGACATCTACACAACATATCCAACAGAAACTGCCTCAGAGAGATGTAAGTTTTTGCATTTGGCATGCATCATGACCAATGCAACTGTAGGTATATCTAGTATCAGATTTAGATACTTGTTTCATTTTAAATTGAAAGCTGAATACAGTACTACAAAAGAAAGAATGAAAGAAAAAGGGAAAAAAGAGAACGAACACAACTCATTCTGACAAATATTCACTGGATTCTGCATACGGGAAATAAAAGCTTGTATGGCAACTGTCTGTGCAAGTAGAGACTAGACTTTGAATAAGACAAAACCTGTAAACACTTAAATCAGACTAACGTTCTCGGAAAACGTAACACCTCTTCTTTATAAACATATCGAGGTAAGGTCAACTATTTCACAACTTTCCTGTCAGGTGGGTAGATATAACCATTTGTCCTCTGCTTTGATCTTAAGTTCCAAACATACTGTGTGTATCTGAACAGAGGACTTACATATACTTCTACGGCCACTCCAAATAAAAAGCTTATACACTACCTTGAACTAGAAGAGAAATATGAGTCTTCTACATCATCGGTGTACTTTTTCTTCGGCTTTGCAATTGCAGGTGTCTCCTGCTCTATTGTTTGCATATCTGAGGTGACTGAGTGAGAAATGCCACTGGAGACAGGAAGAAAATAAGTATGTAAAGAGATGACAAAGCTCATACTCTAAAAGAGAGATAAATGAAAAGCCCAAATCTAGTTTTTGAAGCTTGCTGATAAAGCCCAAGCTATACAAACATTTAAGAAAAGAGAATTTTTTTTTTAAAAAAAAAGCCCTGGAAACCTCAACTGAAGTTCTTTGAAATAGTGACACGACTTCTGAACACATAGATCATTCTACCAGCTGGAAAACACTGCAATATGACTTCTTCAGAGTTTTTGCTTGTAAAAGACTATATTTAGGTTGGTACTCTTCAATGAAAACATCCTGACTAGTTTCCTCACAGTCTGTAAAGCAAACACCCTACAGACATCCTAGAATTTAAGTTGACACCTGTCTGTCAGGTTTGAACTTAAATTTATCAGAAGCAATCCTGCTCCTTCCCCTAACAAATACTTGATTCTTTGATGATATTGCTTAAGTTTCCATAATACACATTAGTGTATTTTTTTCATTCCCTAACTTCACAGAGGCCAAGCGCCAGGTCCTGCACCTGGGCTGAGGCACTCCCAAGCACAAATACAGGCTGGGCAATGAGTGGATTGCGAGCAGCCCTGCAGAGAAGGACTGGTGCTGGTGTATAAAAAACGGAAGATGTTGTGGCAATGTGCATTTACAGACCAGAAAGCCAACTGCACCCTGGGCTGCATCAAAATAAACATGGCCAGCAGGTCAAGGGAGGTGATTTTCGCTCTCTGCTCTGCTCATGTGAGACCCCACCTGCAGTCCTGTGCTCAGCTCTGGGATCCCCAGGGTGACAAAAACATGGACCTGCTGGAGCAAGTCCAGAGGACAGCCACAATCAAGGGACTGGAGCACTTGCCCTGTGAGGACAGGCTGAGAGAGGCGAGGCTGTTCAGCCTGGAGAAGAGAAGGCTCCAGGGAGATCTTACAGTGGCCTTCCAGTACTTAAAGGGGGCCTATGGGAAAGCTGGGGAGGGACTCTATCAGGGAGTGTTGTGTTAGGTCAAGGAGTAATAATTTCAAACTGAAAGAGGGTAGATTTGAGTACTAGGAACAAACTATTTTCTGTGAGGGTTGTGAGACCCTGGAACAGGTTGCCCAGAGAAGCTGTGGATGCCTCATCCCTGGAAGTGTTCAAGGCCACGCTGGATGAGACTGAGCAACCTGGTCTAGTAGGAGGTGTCCCTGCCCATGGCAGGGGGGTTAGAACTAAATGATCTTCAAGGTCCCTTCCAACTCAAACCATTCTATGATTCTAGGAAAGCCATAGAGTATTTTAAATACACTTTATAGAATTTCAAATACCTTCTGTTGCTGCCAAATCCCATGCCAAGTCTCTCCAATTCACTTTTCTTCTTACCGGATAGATTTAAATTTTCTTCCTTTGTTTTAATATCAAGATCTCTGTAGGCCAACCGTAAAGATGATACACTAGAATAAAACAGACAGTTAACATACAACTGCAAAATGCTACACTGAACGCCCAAGCCAGTAATATTAGTAGAAAATTAACACTATGTATTGTGGCACAGTGTTTTATATGTTTACTGAAAATATTCATTATAAATCAGACTAAATTCCAACTAAAAGGAAAGGAAAAAGGCAGTAGAGAAGATTGCCTAAAGAGTACCGCAGTCTGTGTATAAGTAGGTAGTCTTTTTCAAAACAAATGTGAAATACTCTACGGCTGAAGTTCAGGACACGGTTTTGCATTAAGACAACCTTCAAGAGTCTTTTTTTCATAGTCCTAATTCTACAAGATATCGAATAATGGTTCAAATTATACAACTGACATACTATAGTACTATGGCATTCATGACATTAGAGGAAAACATTACTTAGTATTATGTGCAGCCTGGCCCTGCTATGTCTCCCTCCCTTCAATCCCACCATGCTCCTGGTGGTTTTAACACTCACTATACACACACTCTTGAGACAAGTACTAGAGGTACATCACACTTCTTTATTGATGCTGCCCTTCCTCCTGCCCAAAAAGGTGTCTCAGAAGAGAATATATACTCCCAAAATGGAATACATTCTGTTTTATGGAAACTTCGAAGTATTCAAAACTCATTATTTTCTGCACAAGTAGCAATATATTTTGGCACCTGAAATATTCTCACATTTCAGACAGAGTAAGGTGTCTTTCTGAAATGTCAGGAACTTTGCTATACCTCCAATAAATCTTAACTATTTTCCAGTAATACAAATGTAGCAGAGACAGATTCATTACAGAATTGCAGAAACATCAATTAAACGTAATTTGTTAGGTTAAAAGGAATACCAATGGTAATTTTAATGAGCAATGCCACAATATCTTGATTCGTAAGTTGTGACTGGCATAAAGTTCAAATGAACACTATCAGAAGAAGGGTAAATGAGATTTAGGATGCTGCTGGTAGATGTCTGGCAAGTATGAAGGAAGTATTTAAGTCTGAAAAGCTTTGCAACATTTTATGCAAAAGCAGGAAATGACAAAAGACTATTTTTTTCTATTTGGTTACTGAAACAGGCTCTTCCTGGCTTTATTTTTCCAGGTCCCATGCATACTGACTTGACTTTAATTTAGAGCACAAGCTGCCCTTACCAAAGGTCACAGCTTGCTGGTTAGTACATCTCCTGCATGACAGGAGCTGCATGGCTGAACCTGTTAAAATGAGCAGGGCACAACACCCGGTCTTCTTCCTTCACAGACAAGGCAGGTAGGTACCAGCTGGCTGAAAGGAATGGGACATCCCTCCTCTGCTGACAAGGCATTTCAAAAAGATGGAGTGCCATCTCAACCTTGAAGCCAGAACTAAAACAATCTCTATACATCTTTTGTTCAGATTCTTCTAACAACAGAAGTCAGATACAAGCCAGGATGCATTTGTGGAATGACTTTGGAAACAAATAAAAATGTACCTTCAATGCATGTTCAGGGATGTTAAATCAGTTCTTACAGTTTATAATGTATAACTGTTACACACAAGATTGAAAATGTTCTCTCAAATTCAACTTGAAACTGCTACCCATAAAACCTACCACAGCATGTTAATTAGAAAGATTAGCAGCATATCTCATGAAATCTATTGTATGAACATCAAAAATCTGATTTGCTGTCAAATAAAACAAATAGGGATATCGATCAATTTTTTTAAAGTAACTCCAGTTATCTATTCTCTTGTCAGTGCACAGCAGAAAACAAAGAAACTGTACACCAACTATGAAATCACATTATAAGTTCTCCTTCTAAGCACTAGACTACAAAAGCATCACTTCCCTTCCTGCCATGTAACAAAGCCACACTGAATTAATTTACAAAAGCTCATTACTCAAGCTTTTAAAATTAAGACCGTTACACAAATTAGTTGGAAGCAAATGCAATTTTAAAAGTATTCACTCTTCTTAAATTTTGGTTATACTGCCATCTAATGTTAAAAATCTAAAAAGTTAAATCCCAAGTGAAATACAGTTCTCTTCCTTCTAATGGGATAGGATCCACAAACTGAAGTGTATGCGCACCCCTAACATCTCCAGACATCTTCATAGGGTTCTGGCCATTGCAGAAAGGCTGCAGTAACTTTACACTGAAGATTGCCTTGGATGTATATAGATCTATACATTTCTGACACAAAAACCAATCCACTACTAGGGTCTTTCTTTCAAACTGAATAAAACATTAAAGATACTATCATTAAAGAGTAGTAATAATTAATAACAATATTTTTTCTTGTTATTTAGCAGTCTTTTCCTCTGAGTCACTCTACTGGTAGTTTCTGGCAATTGCTATGAAGCATGTCTGTGTGGTAAAAATACTTCCAGAAAAAACGAATGATCCCCTTGTGATTAACATTTCTGATGTACACAAAACATCAGTTTGTGCAGAGGCTACACAAAAGTGAGCCAAAACATCCATTTCAGCAGAGGGCATACAAAAGTGAGGCAAAGGAGAAGGGAGATTATAGACCAAAGAACTTGGAATCATGAGCTCCAAGGGATCCTCTAATTACATAATAATTCAGAAAATTTGGCACTATGCTATAAAACTGATGTATCGCAGCACTTAAGAGAGGATACTAAGCTTTACAATAGTAGAAGTGTACACTAACCAGCTCTTTAATAGTCTAATTTTGATGACAATCAGTAAAATGTTAAAACCTAAAAACATGCAGCAGAGAAATATAGTGGAAGGAACAAGGCATGCCACCCTCTGAGCTTTATCAAGGAGTATTTATTAAGACAAATAGCTTTGAGGCCTAGGACAAAAATATTCAAAATATTTTGGTGAAAATGAAGGCAGTTCCAGGATAAAATAACTGAAACTGAAGCAGTCAATTCTAGCCATACTTAAAACTAAATCCTTCCTTCAACATGGAAGTTCTTAACCAGTAGGTACAAATAAAGCTGAATATTTGTTGTTTCCTTTGCTCCTAGAAAGACTGTTTTTAACAGTACTCAGTTCATGACACCAAAATAAAATGAACAAGTTAACTAGCATGGGGTAAAAAAAAGTTAAAAATACAAGAGTTTTCTGTAGTAATACTTAAATTTAATATACTTTAGATTTATTGTAAATACTATTCATATTTATCAGCAGAATGTCTCCTTATTTTCTGAACCAATTAAGAATAACACTAAGGCTATTTTTAAAGTTAGCATTGGGCTATTTCTAGAGTAAATCATCAACTGTAGTAACATATTCTTACTGGCAAAAAAAAAAGGCAATGGGGGAATTACTGTTTGGTTCACCTCATCCACGTTTTTTTTTAAAACAAGAACTGATGTTTTATTTGCATAAGATAAACTCTGCTACTATTTATAATGTTGACAATCACTTCATTAACATGAAATTAGGCTTCATGGTTTACCATTGTGCATATAATTGATACTTACAGTGGTTCTTCCTTCTCCGTTTTCTTACTGATATGAAGATCTTCTTGTTCTTTCATTTTATCTACAGCTTGTGCTTGTCTTTCAATCTCATTAAAGTTTTGGCTGCTCACTTTTTGTGCCCCCAAACCACCTTTTTTGGCACCGAGCTTGATTTATTGAAAAACAAAACAGAAATCCCAACATTATAACTGAGACAATCACCTCAGCTGACTTCAGTCTACTTTGAAAGTTACAGCAAACACTATACTCCGTGAGCGTATGCAAACAACACTACAAATTTGGAGCGGAGAAAGTATTTTTTTTTCTTTTTTTTGACCCACTATATGCTCCTTCTACTAACTCTTACAAAGTTAGCTAGCTCTGTAGTCATGCATCACAGGGTAATGAAACCATACTAGTTTTAATTGAGGTTGGCCTGTTGAAATAAATACTATAATGTGTAACACAACTTTAGTTTCTTGATTTTGTGGCCTAGTAAAAGCATACAAAAATTTGTTGTAACGGAACCATGTGGTGCTCATTCACTTAATTAACAATTTACATTTAGAAGCTGCAAAGACTCCTAAATTACTTCTCACTGGCCAGTATTGATTTATTCATATTTTTAATAAACATGTAAATAGACATTTACTGATTTATGGTACAAGAGCAATACTAAAGGTTTGTATATGTGTGTTTGTATACATATGTTTGTATGTGTCAAAAACCTTGTAAACCTTCAAGATAAAGAAGTCAGCTGAGAGGTTCTAGTTTTGCACTCATTCTTTTAAAATAATTCTATTTCTAGTTCATATTACTTCAATACATGGATTGTATTACTTCAATATAGGGACTGTATTTCATTCTCATTATCAGAGACTGAAAACACAATGCTACAAATACGAATACATACAATGATGCTGATTCAGATGCTGTCACAGCACTCAAACTGCAGTTCTTAGTCTCCCATGTGTTTCATCCCTCATCTGCAACACTGCAGCAACATTAATTTTCACAATACGTTTACCTTAATGGTTTAACATTTCCAAGTCTTCATGTAAAAGCTCTGGCTGTGTACATACAGCTTGAGGCTCTGACACTGTACAAGTTCATAACCTGTACGTGCACCTTCAAACCCAGTTATGTTCTCACTTACAGGGAACATACCTGCATATACCACTTAGAATAAATTCCTCTTGCATGTTAGGGCCCTCTAGCGGAATCAAGAAGTAATAGGTTGCAATCTAAATTAATCCGCTCGACAGAACAGCCCAGACTTCAGTGATTCCCTGTAATATTGTCACTCTAACAGCCTAGCATTAGGGCTATGCTCTTGGGCCTCAAGAGCCATAGATTCAAAACCAAGCTTTTCCTAGCTAGCTTGAGTTAACTTGAGCCATGTTACTCAGTTTTCAGGTTCCTTGAACCATCATTTTGAAATACTCAGCTCCCCTCATGCCTTCTTTACAGAGACCAGATGCCTAGAAAGTGTCGAGACCCCATCCAGAAACAAGTTCGCAAACAATCTTGAACTGAATGCAGCTGCAAGTTACCTATAAATACACCTTCTATTGTTATATTATCCTACCACACACACATACTTAGCCACTCAGAAGTACTGTAGCAAATCCTCAAAGCTGAGGGAGTTCCAACAAAAAGATCTCTGTGCTAACTAACGTAGGTGGAAGCCTGAAGAAGCCCTGCAACTCAGCATCAGCAAGTGAGAAGTTACAGGGCATCAGTGGAGTTGAAGGGACAAGGGTTGTGAAGAGAGCTGAAGAGGAGCACAGACTTTGGCTTCAACATATGCCTTGATATTTTTCTTTCTGAAAAAATACCACCTGCTGTTCAGGCCCAGAGAGTGCAAAGGAAATGACGCTCAGACACCCAAAGGGAAGTGCATGCAGTTCAGTGAGTTATACACACATAAACAGACTTGGGATTTATTTGCAGTCAGAAGAAAAACCACAGATCTGAAGCGCTGTACTACATAATAACAGTAACCTGTTAGACAAATTCATCTTCACAACAATCCATGTTCAAATATATCATTGGCTGGTTTCATACAGAAAGGGTTTTTAACTCCCTTTTAGTTACATAAATCATTACGGATACAAGTACGGTTTAGCGCCAGCTCACATGGTACATTTCCATGTTGCACTCTACGTATTTCCAGAGATCCATAATACAGTTAAAAGCATGCATTATTTGTGTACACTTACCCCCTTCTTAGCTTGATTTGGCTTCTTTTTTATGAAGGTGGTGTTCTCTGCAAGGATTAAATGCACATTACTTGACATACAATTTTGCAGAAGATAATTTCCACTACATCAGCCTCAGAATAGTTTTTGAAATTTATTTTAATGCCTTGAAGCATTACAGTTTCTACACTAAGAGACTGAGTTACAGGGAACAGAGCTGTGAATATCTCCAACAAAGCACTGGAAACCACCTCTGCTTTAGAATGCAACATCTCTTGCAAATGCACAACAGGAATGAAATCACAGATCAGTTTTCAGTTGTAGATCCCCAATAATAAACAGAATAAGAATGCAGAACTTGCTATTCTGAATCAGACTAGAGGTCCACCTGATCCTGTACAATTCCCAAGATAGTTTCCTGGATAGAAGGTATTGGCTATGTTTAAATCTACCAGTGATACAGAAAAAACCATACCTGTATCACCATAAACAAAATCACAAACATTATCAGAGGTGACAATATATTCTATCACTAGATTGAACAGCTTTGTTCAATCACCTAAGTACAGTGCTGGAAATCTACCTTTACACATAGAAGTTTGAAAGTCCCAACCTTGATGCTTTGTATTAAATCCTGAAACATAGAAATAAAACGAGATTCTGCTCTGCATGAAGTCTGACACAGCTCCTAATCTCGATATTTTTAATGAGACACTAATAGGACTCACTACATTCTGCAAGGCGCTATATTGTGCCTTCCCAAGAACTATCCTGAGTCATGGTAAATCTCCCACAAACAGAAGTTTTCTACCAGCAACTCCTATCGAATGCCTGTACACACAGAAAAACTACTTTGAGCTAAAATTTAGTTGGAAACAGGCTTACACAGAACAGAAATTCTTCACATAAGATAAAACTCATGACGTCCAAACAAGAAAAGCATGTGTTTTATGAGACTAAGTATTAAAGATACAAACGAGAAAACCAGAAAGTGTATGTGGTTAAATACTTTTCCTGCTCCCTGGCTGTCTCAAAAACAACACCAAAACCCAAACTCAAATCCAAGCTCAACCAAGTGAACACAAAAGTAATGAAGTACTAAGATATTCCCAGCCACCACTTCTTTACTATCCCTGTGCTGCTGAGAATCAATACTCTTTATTCTCAGAAACCTGCTCCTGCAGGATGATCCTCAAAATTATAAATCACTGATGTATTTTATTCTATTTTATTTTCCTCAACTTTTTTTTACTTACAGTACACTCTTCAGTGTTAAGTAAATCAAGACTCTAGACAATGAAGATATTGTATTATAAATAAAATATAAAAATCTTGTATGTTCAGTTTTCTGAAAAGGGAGCAAAAACTATGTCTAGAAAGAAAGACTGACTTACTAGTACAAGATCTGTTTGCTTAACAGAAGTAACAGGCCACTAATCACAGCACAATGTTCTTTTCCACCTATGTACTTTAAATGCAGAACTTAAAGCAGTCCAACAGGAGGTGTAAAACATTAATGGTCACCTTTATTAGTTGTGATACCTGTAGCATTTAAATTCATCAGGTTGGCTAAGATATGATAAAACCAGAACAACACTGACTAAAATTTATTTCTTAGGAGTACACTGTTTGAGAGAAGAAGCTGTAATACAAATCAGATGTTTCAACTAACTCATGCACACTGATACAAAACTAAGAATTCCTCATCTCTTCCCAGTCATACATTCTCTGTACAAATGAACATTTAAATACACTATACTGGTCGCTATCTTCTGCTTACACTCATTACCTAATGCAGCTTTCGGTGATGTACTAAGGCAATCAACACTTGGTCCATATTCTGGTCCTAAAACATAATGAATAATAGGGGTAAGAATATCAGAACGGTCTTCAGAATGTTTAAAATACCAAAACACAACTCACTCAGAGGTACGGTCTAATACTTGTAACGCAATGTGTTATTTTTATCATAGCTTTACCAGTTATTTAAAGAGCAGCAGGCACCCAAAGACACATCTGAAGTCTTTTCAATCAAATTTTAATTCAGATTTCTATTAAATATTATTAAAGGAGCATGCAATCTCACACATTCTAGCATAACTAGTCCTTCCTCTCCAAAATTCTTGCATGGTTAGGTTATTTCACTATTAAAGTAGGATAAAAAGAGCCTTAACAAAGAGACTACCAGAAAAACGCAGCTTATCTTTAACAAAGAATCAGTCATACCTTCACAGCATTCCGGAGTATTATCTGAAGTCTTCTGCTGTAAAGAAACCGTCTCTGGCTCTGATAACACCCACTCTGTATTCTTTGCCTTGAAACAATTTACAAAATCAGAAGCGCACACAAAATAGAATACAGCAAATAAATACGACCACTGAGCCCAAAGACTGCCATCACCGATTAGGTAATACTGCATTCTCATGATTACAACTTCTAGGTTTAAAACCTGTTCTCAGAAAGGCTGTTATAAAAGAAATGCCTGCCTTTATTAAAAGGTAACTGGTTTCAAACCACTCCTAAGCACCTGTATTTCCCTCTCAGGAATTTCAGTATGTTTAACATCTAGAAAATAATACATATTTTAATCGTGCTTTAGATTTATTTCCTGTACGCTGGCTATTGATTGTCTTCAAACATAACAGTAATACAGGACAGGAAATCTGGGACATTTATGTACATATATTCACCAAGCCTTCTCCCCACACTAAACTCTTGTAATTCCCATTTTCTAACGCTTAATTTTTGATTGTGAGCAGTCCTCCCACTTCCCTCAGACACATCCTCCTCATCAGGCAGGCTTGTGACCTGGTCACAATAATATCTGCTTAGTATTACCTTTTCCACCAGTGCAGTGCCACTGCCAGTTCAGGCTTATTCTTCCCGAAATCTCAAAACTTCCTGACATGACTCCCAAAACATCTATACACAAAACGAGCTCTTGCCCTGAGGTACGCAGACTGCTTGACTCCAACCTCCTGCCTTTGCAGCTACCTGAAAATACCTTCCCTTCAGAGGGTTTGTATCAATTCCCACCTCTTGTACTCAACCACAAAAACATTTACAAGACTTGGCTCCTTAAACTTCTGTCTCTTTAGCCTGCCTCAGTTTATACTTCTCCCACTCAACTGCAAGCATTCTTCCAAGGTGCTTTTTTCAAACATTAATATTTCATTTATCTTTCTACTGTCATGACAGATTATATTTTGGTGAAGACACTAGACCAGAATCTACAACAAATTATTTTTTTCAGTCTTTGCAGTGAGCATTTCTGTGTAACAGCAATCTTCCCAGTCTGTAAAATGTAAATACTCTCTCACTGCGTCAAAGATGCTGAAATTTATTTTTATAAGGCATTCAAATATTGGCCTGCAGCAGAAGTTCCTAAAATAAAACAAGTAAGTAGTAAAAAGGCTGAACTACCCCTCAAAATGCACCATTTCTGAAGCCCCACAAATACAACAAAAAATCTGCATTTTGTAATGTCACAATTGAATAATCAAAAGGAAAAAAAATATTTAAATTACAGCTTTTTTTTCATCCTTACGCATCCCATATACACGAGAAAGTCACTTAAAAATCACGTCATTTTTACTGGGTTCTTTATTCAGGTGCAGATACGAGCAGCTTCCACAGGTTATTATTACTTGCTGCTGATGCACAAGCACAACCACAGCGAAAGCATTAACATGCATATGAATGGTGAAGTGTTTACACAACCAGGGCTAATCAGATACACTGATACTCCTTGAATTCTTCTCCATGTCAAATTATGCCTCATGACCATACTTGTGTTTTAAGTGTTGAAAGACTGCAACTATACTAGAAAGGAATTACACTAGAACACTTAACAGACTCAAGAGAGTCTCTGAAACATTAATCTGTGAAATAAACACAGTATCTATCACCTTCAGGAGACAGGATCAAATATATAAAAACCAAGAGTAGCGACAGCTTTCAGAAAGTTACTTTAACATTTTCAAAGAGGATGCAAAGATTTTGAAGGAAGAAAAAGAAGCTTCTGCTTAGCAAATGTTTTAAGAACTATTAAACTTTACTGATTAAAAACCAAAGTTATCACACAGTATATTTAAATCGGAGCACTCTCAAGCAAGGAATGATGAGTCCAAGTGGAATTACATGCCTAAAGAAAACAAAGTTTCATTCCACATTTAGCTACTGTTTGAGTCATTCTGAATTATCATCTTAGAAAGTGGTTCACCTGCAGGAAGAATTTTCAGACCCGCAAAAGGAGAAGTAGATAAGTTTTAACTCTCTGACCTACCCTTTTTCTATAAGGTTTTCTTTCAGGGTTAATCTTCATCATATAGCACACAGTTAACCTAAGTGTTTAGAAAGGTAACAATAATTAAATACAGGCAATCTATACCTTGGGAGAAACATGGGATGCAAAAAAGTCTTCCTCTTTGTTTTGAGGTGACAGAGGTGGCATTCCACACCCATCTGTCCACAGCTACAATTAAAAGAAAGAGAGAGAATTTTAAAGGACAATTGCACTAAGAGATTTTTTTCAAATGTACTAATCTTTTTTTTTTTTTCAGGTTAACAATTTATTGCAGGGTTTTTGCCTGGTATATAAAAAAACCTACAAATTCATTCAAGCTCTGATACACGACATTCCTTTAATTTTTAAAATTTCATACATCTTTGATTTGTTTGTTCATGTTATCCGTTTGCTTCCTAACAAAATGCTCCATAAAAGCTCTGGTCCAGTAATACTGTCAACACTTAGTAAGTCTAGAGTTTTATAAGTAGTTCATATTCTCATACAAGGTGTTTTCTCTCTAATATTCTTGTTTTGCCCAAGGCAAAAAAAAAAAAACAACCTGAAAATATAAAACTAGCAGTCACTGGAAATAGTGAAGAAAAAAAATCAACAGGCCTTCTTGCATTTTTTTTTAATCCCCACTTATCTGATCAACCTCAAATGAATCAGTCACAGACTATAACCAGCTGAATTACAACCAAAAAGCACTTTCTGTGTACGCAGAAGAGAACTGTTATCAACACCTCAGCAACCTAATTCTGCACACTTTGCTAATAACTTCTCCTGTCAGCAACCTAACAGTGTTCTGACAGCATGCCATGAACTATTTCAGCATTTTTAGTGGAGAATAGCAAGTTCAGGACATACATAACTTGCTCATTTTTCAAATACTACTTCTGTAGGG